TAATTTATTTTCTTCTTTCCCCCCCATTTGTTGCAAAAACTATTCTGAATCTGCGAGTAATTTTGTCTAAACCCGACTTTTATGGCAGACACTTGTAACATATTGCAGAGTTTCTATGAATAGTCCTGCCCTTTTGCTGTTGACTAAGGAGCAGCTGCAGTGGAACAAGTGGAGGATAAGTGCTTTCCTCAACAGTAACATACCAGTAATTGCAAGGGGTGGCAATGTTATTCCTTCTCCTCCTCTATCCAGCTGGTTTTGGGCTCTACATCATGGCTTCCACTTTGCCAACACTTACACCCACTGGTTTAAAGCTTTTTTTGTGGTCTATAAAACTGAAAGACATTAAAATCACCTGAAACACCCACTCAGTGGTTCATTAGGTGCAGCCATCAGGGAAGTAATAAGATGGTCTCTCTCATTAGATCGCTAATAACGCAGAATGGCTGAAGGGCTGATGGTTTAATGCAGGAACATCTATTAATGTACGGGAATTAATGACTGCTGTAATTTGAGCTCGATGGTCACACCTTTTCTTAGTAATTAAAAACCTTCTACAAGCCAAACTTTGAGGCTTTACTTGGAGCATCTTAACAGAACATCTGGAAGTGGATTGAATAACAAATTATACAAGGAAAGAAAGTTGGTTTATTCTGATCTATAGACATCAAATAGCCAAAGTGTTAAATTTTTACTTCAGCGATTTTATTTTAGTATGGATAATCTGAGAATTCTAATCAAAGTGATTCTGTGAGAGACACAAATAAAGTGCATATAACCCCCTCATATACACACGTCTTTACTTGCACCAGCTTAAACACATTCTCCTTTCACCCATGAATTAAGTACATGGGGATAATCAAAGCTGTAAAAAAGACAAGTTGGAAACCTACACATGCATGTTCCTGAGAGCAAGTGTTGATGAGGGGCTGCTGGCAGACTGTGAGATCCCCTCCACCAACCCCCACCATTTGCCCACCCGCGGCAGGTTATCTGAGTGAGTATGTCACATCAGCAGGGAGGGCAGGAGAGAGGGGACGGCCCTGTCACCTCTGAAGCGATGGTGTGCATGTGTGAGAAAGTGTGCCTGTGTTAGGGGATGACTGATTGTGCCCTGCCACAATAGCCTTGAATCCCACCTTTCTGGCTGCTTACCTCACCGCACCACAGATCCCGACTATAAATACTCCTCCTCACTGAAACACCAGGCAACCGCAAACATCCACTTAGCTGCCACATAACACTGGATGTCCCTTTTTATTTCCATAAGTCATCTCTCTATCCTTTCCCCCATCTCTTCCTATTTGCATCACTCCATCGTCACTATACTCATCCCTTGGTTCCAACTTTTCCATTCTTCCCTTCTCTATACAGTCCATTCCATCGCTTCCGCCCTGATAACGTGGGCTGAGCTTTGCAAAGCAAGTTAGTCCAGGGTAATATGAATTAAATGAGACTGTTTGTGTGTTTACACTTCAGTACCTCTGTGCACCTAGGCAGACAGCAACCATACTCTGAGAACAGAGTCCGAATGGGATGAAAAACCCAAAACAAAGGGTCAGGTAACACAGGCTGCATGAGCGCTTTCCTGCAGTTCACGGTCTACTGGTATGGTACGAGTACTACCCAGGGGCGGTGCATGATGTAAATGTCACAAAGAAGATACTTAAAACAAGGAGAAAATATACAGATGCATCAGGAGGGCGTGCAAATCCAGTGAGAGTTGACTCTCTCTCATATTAATAACCATGCATCTTTATTTAAAATGGTCTCTTCTCTCCGATAAGTTACGGCGCCTCTTTGCCCCTCTGCTGCTTAGGCTGATTTGGGTTTTAATGCGATGAGAATGGATTTCTGTGTATACCCGTCGGTGTTCGGACTATGCTGTGCTGACCGTGACTTTCCCATTACTACCGGATCAGTCACACACATGTAGGCATGTAATTAACTGAGTGGAGGGGAGCAGGGATGGAGGTGAGCGAGGATGTGTCTAGGTTGATGTATTATCCCATCACCTTGACCTTGGTGACTTGGAGATACAGCTCAATTAAGTGGACCTGGCCTGACATTCTTTACACCAACATCCCCTTCCTAATGATTTATTAGGCCTGTTTGCTTGCACCATACCATTTCTTTAGAAATACTGCACATAATTTCACCGTGTTGTCTACCATCTCCCTCCCTTCCAAACACTGCTGTTATACAGTTAACATTATAAAAAGCCAGTTGTCAGTCTTGATGATCATCTCAAAGCCTGTTCAGCCCCATGTCTGAGCGCAAGAAATCAATAGTCTTCCAGAAAGAGTTCAAATCTAAAAAGAGAGAAATAAATGTCATCTGAGCTCAGACAGTGAAGGTCACAGCACTCCATTTCTAGTTAAAAAGGCTGTAGAGATGTAATGATGGGGGGGTAGTAGTTACATTTTTTTAAAGGTCAGGACAGTTAGAATATTATTTTTACCATGTGCTATCAGCAGAAAGGCAGTGTGTGAGCTCAAACGAAGGTTCTGACCTTTAAAAACGCTCATATTGAGGCAGGTTTTAACCATTCAACAATCAGTCCCTTCAAAGACATATTTTCTCAAATATCGTCATGTTTTCACTCATCTAAAGCTGCCCTCGTCTTTGGTTTGTAGGGATTTTGTTTTGTACTCCTAGACACACAATTGCAAAGGAGGTTGTCAATAAATGTAGAAGAGGTTTTTGTAAGAAAAACTAAGTATTGATCAAGCTTGAGCAAATGAAACCAGTGAAGCAGGTGAAAAAAACACCCCAAAACACTTATGGCCTTTGAATCCATTTATATTAGCCATTTTTATGAAAGAAAAAATAAAAAAAATTTTGGTTACTTGTTTTTTTTATTTTTTTTTTTATTGTTGTTTTCAAATTGAAAAAGAAATTAACAATTGATACACGGATTGCACTGAAGCATCTGTATTTCTGTAAGTAAATCAGGTCCACTTATTAAGCGCCGTGAGACGAGATTTGCTGTGAATTAGAAGAATTGAACAACTAGTTGAGCGCTTCTAAAAAATCTGCCATTAAAAAGGTGTAAATAAAAAATGGTTGAAACCATGTCATATGAAAGCTGCACATCGCCCTGAAAACAATATGCCGGCAGCTTTTGCTTTTCTTTAGCAGGGATTAAGAAGCTGCTCTAAAGCCGGGTGTACACTGTGTGATTTTCGGGGCGATTTTCCAGTCGTGTGAGAATCTTTGGATCGGCCCGACTTTCAGCCTGATTGTGCGTTGTGTAGTGTAGATGGGGTTTCGAGGGGCGATCAGCCTCTCACGACCACCTCCCGATCAGGAATTGAGGTCGGGAGAATATCAAACATGTCTGATTTTCTCCTGACCGTCGTGGGCAAATCGTTTAGGGCACATGAGCAAACGAGGATTCTTCTGTAAACACAGAAGCATTGCAGGGATGTAATGAGTGAAATGCAGTTTTGTCTGTAAAATTGATAGACCGTAGTAGCCATGTTTGCTCAGCCATGTCTTTTTTTCCAACTACGTTGTCGCCTTTCCTTTTGAGGACTTTTAGCAGAAAATTGCACAAATTGACAAGGCAGCTCGTTTCAATATAGTGAGTTTGGCGTCAGGATAGAGAGCTACAGAGCAGCTCCATTTCACTGCGGAGCTGCGTCCGACGTGGGTTTTAGTCGTACAGTGTGAGCAGGTAGATCACATGAGAGCGTCAGGCTGAACATAACTCGCGAGCTGTGAACTCACACTGTACGACTAAATCCTGCGAACAGGCGTGCAGTGCGAGCAGCAGCTGCGTGCAACGACAAAAAAACAAAACAAACAAGGCCACAGTGTACGCCCCGCTTAAGGCTGTAGAAAAGAAAAGAAAAAAACTAACAAAGATATTATAAATATTTTTCTTTTATAAATAAAAAATATTTACAGTATGCAACTTGATCGACAGATACAAGTTTCCTAAGGTTGATGCCATTACATTAATTTGAGTTCAGTCTAACCAAACCCCAATTTTGTGCTGCCATTCTTTTGGGCCGATTCTTGAAGCTGATAATGCCTCAATTTCCTCCATTAATGTGGTATAAATGTCACAAGTTCCAGTTCAGATAAAAATTACATATTTCTTTAAAATTTTTAAAGAAAACATTAACAATGGAGGGCTGCTCAGTGGCGCAGTAAGTAGCACGCCTGCCTTGCAGCAAGCAGGTTCTGGGTTTGAATTTGCATGTTCTCCCTGAGCATGCATGGGTTCTCACCGGGTACTCCGGCTTCCTTCCAAAGTCCAAAAACATGACTGTTAGTTTGATTAAAGGTTTCTCTAAATTCTCCTTAGGTATGAGTGTGTGTGTGAATGGTTGTTTTTCCTGTGTGTCTCTGTGTTGCCCTGCAATGGACTAGTGACCTCTCCAGGGTGTACCCTGCCTCTCGCCCGTAGACAGCTTGAGATAGGCACCAGCATCCCTCGCGACCCCACTCGGGATAAAGAAGTGTCAGATAATGGATGGATGGATGGATTAAAAATGGATACCAAATGGAGGGAGTGGCAATGCATGTGCTTTGCGTAAACCCAAGGCATGCCTAAATGCACTAATGAATTAGCAAATGTATGTGTGTATTAGCCTAGACAGAAACAAGGAAAATAAATATTAAAAACGAACCAAGAACATCAACCAACTGATGTATCAGTCTATATCTACTTTAAACTAGGGTGAATGCTGAGCTTCCTTAAGGCTCACAATACTAAAAACAATGCAGTGTCTTAAAGTGGTAGGGAAGAAGTTGTACCAACGGATGCAGTTCCAAATTCTCCCGAGTGGAGCCCAACTTTACACGAGTGAATAAAGTGAATGTGATTGGTCGATTATCAAGGGGGCGGGATTGTTGTGGCAGAAGGTTTCGCATTTAAACGTTAATATTTACAGAGCAGCTGCAAAGGGCAGACAACTGTATTTAAAGTGATAATTTTTTGGCTTTGTCATAGAAATAATAGCTTTTTTATTACAGTCTCATCTTCTTACCTGCAAATGCTTTGGAGATGTGATCCTTTTTCCATTCCCAGGGTTGGTCGTACTCATCAGCTGGTCTCTCGTCATCTTGCGGCAGCCTGCTGGTCTCCTTGCCCTCCTCATGAAGTTCTCCGAACACATAACCAAGGCGCTGTCCTCGCTCATCTTCATATGGAGTGTCATAAAGCTGCAACCCTCCCCGCATACGTCCTCCTCCAGTGTTTCGCTGCAGTTCTGTCAATATACATGCACATGAGGGGAAAAAAAAATATGAAAAAACATAGTTAAATTATTTCTTTAATGCAGGATGTTTAACCCATTTGCAAGAAAAATAGCAGTGAGAACCCATGTTAGTTCTCAAAACACTGCTCTTCATTCAAATGATAAAATAAATAAAAAGCTTGTTGATCTTGAACGTGCCTTGAATTAGAGAAATTTAAATAATTATGTTTGCACAGCTTGCAGTAGGTTCAGCGACCAATGTGCTGGGCCTTAACAAGGAACTGGGTCAGACACAGAGTGGGAAAATAATACTTTCTCTCCCCGCATCCCTCTTTGCACCTCTGCCAGCAGATATCCAGCGTGGCTCACAGCAGCATTTGTGTCTCCTTGCTAACATTTTCATCAATTTCTCAGTGGGGTCCAAACAACAAATGGTTCTCAGCACCTGCATCTGCTTTGTGGAGTCAAACATGGCCATGAGATAAAAGGCTGTACGATTACCGCTGGTTCTAAATGCTCCCACGAGGATCTCTAAGCAACAGGGGGCCCAAAACCTCAAATAGTATTTGATTTTATACAAAAATGTTCCATTAAGTAAAAGAAAATAGAGTGAAATGAAATTATTGTTATTAACCATGTTTTTGTTTTTTGGGCATAAAAATGGAAAAGGACCAAATATAGTTTACCATGATAAAACGGTGCTTTCAAGTGGCCAGGTATTACCATGGTGACCAAAGTGGAAAGCCATTGAGAGAGAACCCCTGAGGTTATAAAATGAGGGGTTGAAGGTAAACTGGAGAGAAAGGAGGAGCAAGGTCATGGGGGGAGGAAAGGATGCAAGAGCAGAGGATGTAAAAAGAGAAAATGGGAGCCGTAGTGAAACCAGAGGAAGAAACAGGAACTAAGAGAGAGATGGCATGAGAGATTGAGGAGGGCAGAGGATTGTGGTCTGTCAGCCTTTGATGTTAACACGTAAAGACAGCAGCACAACAGGGCTGAACGCTGCTCTACCTGCACCGGGAGCTCGTGGTGTCACTGCAGCCTGGTGACGGAGAGGAGATGAAGGTTGGGAGATAAAAACAAGACTTGTGGAAATCAGAATGATAAATTCAAAGGAGAAACGATGGAGGAAAAAAAACACAGTCAGGGGTTTGAGACGGTGGGAAGGGTGAGAAGACAATCTGACAGGGACTGAAGATTGAGGCAAATGATGGCAGGGAAGGGGAGAGTGTTTAGGCATGCAGACATGTGTCAGCGGGGGGGAACAGCATTTTATACAAAAGAATCATGAATCCCGAAGAAGTGAATAAAATGTAAAATTAAAGCAACTTTAAAAACCACATACTGTGTGAGTGATAAATATTATTTCACTGTCACATTTGGCTGCTGCTTTGATGACTTCCAATGAGAAAGAACCAGGCAGAGATACAGAAAAAATGGCTCCAAAGTGACAGGCTCAGTGCAAAACCAATAAGGGAGCTCTGACAAACCACTCCAAATCCATTTCTTAGATGGCTCCATCCAGGTGATGCAAAAAAATGTTTGCCTTAAGGCTGATACAGATTAGGCTGGATCCTTTTATTCCTAATTTCGTGTATTTCTGTACTAAACGGAGAAAGGGAGACAGCGATGAGATGGCAGAATATATACAGAGGACGTTCACTAAAGGAGAGATTAAAGAGACAACCAAAGAGTTCCCACTGGGAGCAGAGGAGAGCCCTCGAGATGGAGAAATGTAGTAATGGAGAGGAGTAGTGGTGGGGGGACAAGCCTTTACACTAAGTGACAGGGACAGACCAGAGAGAGCATTGGGGGGGTGGGGTGGTCCGAAAGAGATGTTGCAGAGAGAGGGAGAAACAGAAAACGATGTCTCTGTGATAGATGATGCTTTGGAGCAAATTGCGGGTGCAAAAAAGAATAAAAACTTCATGATGCTGAAAGCTTACTCAGCTGTGGTTGACAAAAATCCATTAGAGGTGCATTAACACTTTAGTGGCAAACAGTCACCAACCAAATATTACAAAGCCACTCTTTTCAGTCCTCCTCAAAGGTAGGAGGACAACATCGACATATCTTCTTTTGCTCATTACAGAAAGTGCTGAAACAGCACAGATCTAGATTATTGAGTAGGTCCACATGTTACCTATGAAATAATGTGGGGAGATTTAATATAAAGGCCTAAATGTCCAGAACTGGAGCATTCAACCGTCTGCTCATTACGATAACTTTGATCTTTCTTTGATTTCTGATCAACGTCTGCTCAAACTAAGATGCAACAGCAACAAAACATCTATTGAGCAGCCGTCATTAAACTGTAACCTATACAATAACCATAAGATATGTTTCGTACTGTTTTACCAGCCTAACACAAAATGCATAAAGCTTTATTAGTTTGACATGTTTTCTAGTGAAAGGAGATTTGGTTTTCTATTATTTGTCTAGCTTATTTTTCTACAATTCCAATCTACATTAAAAATGGGATAGTAGGACAACTGAATTGTCCTCTCAACATGATTATGTAGTCCAAATAAGAAAAATAAACACAAGTTTATAAAAGTGTAAAAGCTGAGACTAAAATCAGTAAAAACTGAATCTTAAAATGTGAGGTAACCTCTTATTTTTTCTTTGCCAGATTCCACAAATAATTCCCTCCAGTCTGTTTCTCTCTCCTGTCAGCTGTGAAAAACATTTCAGTGTTTTCAGTTTTTTTTTTAAAACCATATCTGTTGTGTAACTCAAATTCAGACAACAGGCTTACAGCCATACAGTGTGCAGAGAATAACTTTATTAATCCTAACACCTTTTCAACCTGTTCTATTTTATTACAAAATACTAATTCCATTATTTTGCAAATTAAAGTTTAAAATGTAGTAAATTTCTTAAGTCCATTCAGAGCAACACTCTCTGCATTTAATTATCTACTAATAATCATGTTCCGCTTTGTCAAGTGGATTAAGGTCAGAGAGGTTAGGAAATGGGCGGTATAGAGAAAAATAGGAAAATAACATTAAGTATCTGTAGGAAAAAATAATACAGTAACACCACTTCATTTACATTCCCATTTGTGTCCACTTTCATTGCTCAAAGGTCTTCTCTAGCTTTATAAATCCACTGACCTGTTATGACCCTTTGAGCTTCATATGGTTCCATGTAGCCATTATTTTCGCAGGGTACAGGACCAAGATCTGGATCCGTTCTGTGTTCCGTTCGAGCATCGAATGGATCGGAATAATCTGTGTCCCCTGCCAGCGGGGCTGATGGCACCACCTGAAAGATTAAAAAAAAAAAAAGAAAAAAATGGCACTCCCTTAGGTAATGCTAGTGCACCCCTGAGGAGGGAAAAGGAAGAAAAAGCTGACTCAGTATAATGAATTCAAATCATTCTAGAAACGACAAAACAAGCTAAAATTCTATTCTGGCTCTAATGTGTTTAACTTGTTACAGCTTGACTATCGGGCTTGCATGAGAATGTGCTAAAGATTTTTGAAGCATTTTTTTAAGGATGATTAAGAAATTTCAGTCTGGCTGTTAGAGCTAAAGAAATTATCCCTACAAATAAAATAGGATCTAATAACCTCAAGGTGGTAAATCTAGGATGAATGACAATAAGATCTCAAGAAAATTACATTAAACTTTCATTTAGCTAGAAACAGATAATAAACAGTTTCCTTACTCTACAACAATCTGCTGTATACTCTGTATCTCCCAATAGTTATTGAAGCCCTCAGTATTGGTGGAGACACCATCTTGACGTTTTCTTTTACTTTCACAAGGAGCGGACAGAGATAAAAGACAGATAAGCAGGTGGTAGCATTTGTTACTCCATGCAAGCACAGGAGGAAAAAAACAGTGGTCACCTGGCAGCCTGACAACAACACAGCCAACCATATGGTTGCACAAACGCATGCATATACAAAAACACGTGAGAGCCAGTCTAGAAGCGTATGCATCCTTAGTATCTCCCATTTCCTCACAAAGGAATCAATGCAGAAAATCCTAGTTCCAAAAAAAAAAATTATGAAAAAAAATCCTCCTAAACACATTGTGGTGAAAAGACCTCCTAATCTCTTGCTGATTGTGTAACAGGTTATCCAGGGATGCACATGAATCTTTTATATTAATTAGAACGTGGATGTTCTCACAGATCATAGGAAATTAACATGCATTGAAGAAATGAAGGGCAGAAAGGAGAGCTATTGACTATTATTAATTCCTTCCAATTCAGGATTTCTTTCTAGCATTTTTCACGTGCTTGTTCATAGATTAAACTGCTATGAAAACCATGAGATTCTTTCCAACTTGCTCAGTGTTTTTGAGTTCGCCTGTAAACAATGTCCTTGCAAAGCCCTTACTTTTGCACAAATTGTTCTTTCGACATCTTTCCTAATGTCAAACAAGTGTTGTGTGAGTTTATAATTTATCATACATACAGTGCAGAGTGAGGAACACACTACATTCCTGATGACAAAAACAGCTCTTGGCTTGAAATATACCTCCTTCCGGCTCTTGATAGATCACACGGCAGTTTAATGAACATGGGCCTGCAACATGTGCACGTGTGATGGTCCCTCTCAGCTTGCGAAACCAAACCTCATCTATTATTTATGGACGAACATAAACCCAGGGGACCGTGGCCCCCCTCCTACTCAATGGTCCGCTCAAGCTATCCATTTCTTCCTCCGCCCATGGTAGTAAATTAATATGATGGGTGATTTATATAAACAATATACATCTTCTGACACACATCCGGAGAAGTTGTTGATTGGGTCTGATCATTAAAGCTGCAGGGGGATGGAAATGGGATGAAAGAAGTGGGAGTTTTAATGTCTTTTGGTTGACTTGTCTTTATGTCTCCAGCCCACTTAGTTTACCAGGTGAAAGATCTCATCTGACATCATCTCCTCTGTTCTTTGCACATCTGCAAAGAACTTAGAGGCACAGAAAAGTCAGCAGAACCGGACTATTTCCTTACCACTTGGAAGCTCTGAAAATTACATTAGAGAAACTAAAAAAAGTCTAAGGACCAATTCTAAAGAAGAACATGTTCTCTAAGGAGGAATGACTGCTGTTAATTCAGCCTGCTTTGTCATCAGTTTTGTTTATTTGCCACGTGATTATTTTAAGAGAAAAAAAGGCACAGTATGCAAAACACAACAGTCAGTTTGTACTGAAACTGGGAACATTTCAGCCAAATGGAAAATGATTAAACATACCCATAGCTCCCATCAGCAACAGGGGAATCGATCTGTTTTATCTATTAAAACTCATTCTATTTTGGAAAAAAATCTTCATATGTTTTTTTTTTTTAAACTAGGATTCAGTATAAAGGTCAACATTATTAAATACATACAAACCACTGTTCTTATAATGCTAACCATGCTAATTGTGTTTCTAATACCAGTCGCTAAAGAAAGTATGTCAATTTGTTGACCTTGTTAGGATTTAAAAATATTTACACTTTGCTTCAGACCAACTCTCCCCCTTAAACACACACACGGTGGAATGTCAAATATGCTCCAAATTTCATGAAAGAAAAGCAAGATAATTTTTCTAAGTTCTTAAATATAGATATGAAAGAAAAAAATCAGGAGAAGACATCTGGAGATCTAAAACATTTCTGCATCTCCTGAATCAAAGGCAAGAATCTGTAGGTCTTACAGGCTCTTGTTGGTCTTCCAAAGAGATGGAGCTGAGGAGAATTTTGGTGCGTCCCAGCTCCTGGGAGTCCACCTTGATCAGCCTGTGTTTAGGAGACTTCATGTCCAAACTGGAAGACTTCATAGGAGATCCGTACACTGGTGTGGACGGCTCAAAATTCCCAGATTCCTCTCTGGATCTGTTCTCCGCATCCTCATATGGATCTTCAAAGTCCAGGTCTCTCTGGAGGCGGTACGCTTTGAGAAACTCACTTTCTGTGTAGTCCGGTGTGGGTGGTTGTGGGGGTACCTTTCTGCCAAAGCTTAGGTAGTCCTTCAGCCACTTGGCCATGGCAGCTCAGCTTCAAATCTCGGTGCTGGCTAGACAACTGTATGTAAAAAAAGGTCAAGAGGACAGATGCAAGGTTATTGCTTGATCTTATTTAGACATTAGATAAAAACTGCTCTATGGAAGGTCTGATTATTAAAAAAACTGATTTCAATATAGAAGCAGACACAATAATCCAGAGATACTGATCCTTTCATGCCGTTTGAACAGATCTGCCTCCTTCTAATCACAAAGCAACAGTATGTAGCCTATGCTGCAACATGTCTCCATGTCATATTAACCTACAGAGACAGCTGGGCTCCATGCGCTCCTTTTGTTTTAGCCATGGGAGCTGAGCGTCTGGCGACTGGACTTTGCCCAAAGGCTTAAATTGCACACACCTCTGCAATAAAAGTCCGGAGATATCGCGGGGGTGTAACCATAGACAAATACCAAAACCATAAAAAACGCAACAACAAAACATAGGAAGATAATAATCAACAAAGAAAGCGTTTCAACTTCTGAACTTTGTGATACCATTTTATAAACGTTTGATTAAACTGTTTTTAATATGAAAAACTGGCTTTAAACAAGGTAAGGAAAACTTCTGTTAAACAAACTAACAAACCAAATGATTTAAAGGCGAGAGAAAGCTGCGCTCCCGCACGCGCAACCACCTACCACGCCAATTCAGTCCCTCAGCCACTTCGGACGCAAAAGTCCGAGCTTCTTCATGTTCCTGCCGATTAAAACAACACAACAGAGGTTGTAATCCGCGTCTTAAAACCCCGTTAAAGCCCCGATGGATGAAAAATAAAGCAAGATCCTTTCTTCAGCAACTCGAGCGCATCAGGAGTTTCTCTTGGAAAATGTGTGAGTGAGGAGAGCGACGACAGCTCCGAGAGAGGCGCAACTCAAGCGAGCGATTAAAGGGGAGGCGCTTCATTCCCAGGGGAATATCCTCCTGCTGCCTTTTGCAATCAACCGAGCCTTCATTCATTCAGATGGCTGTACGCGTCATGCAACAAGAAATAGATCCTCTTTTTTTTTTTTTTTAAACAGAGCTGCAAGTGGTGAACAAACGAAAAAAAAAAAAACTAGTCTACCTGCAGAAGCACGCTCCTAAGGTGTAAATTATTCATTTGCATGACATCACTGGCAGGTTTTTCATGTTAGAGCATCATTTAATGTTATTGTAAAGTGTTTGGTTTTTAAGATAAACGTGCATGGAGGACTGTGCAAAATAGATAAATTCAAGCAAAATGCACAATGATTGAAAATTTGACATAGAAAACAGAATAACATGACAAAACCATTCATTTTGATTTTTTTATGTTTTACATTATCTTCTCCCACTTGTCACATTATCCTTTGTCCAGCCTGTATGCAACTCTGAGTCAGTCTCTTAAAGGATCGTAAATGTCTTTTTCTTTACGACTCTTGTGAGCTCACTTTCACTCAGGAGGCGGGTGACTATAGATGAGGTCATCAAGCCAGAATCCACCCCCACTGTTGCCTTTACCAAATTCATCAGCATTGTAACATCTAGACTTTTTACATCAAATTCAGCCCTTATCACTCTGAAACAGTTGCTCCAAAGGAACAGATTTTCAAATTCCTGCAGCCAATCTCATTGTAGTTAGTTTGAACACTTCTGTTCTCTAAGTTGTCTTCTTTAATTTTCTAGATCAGTGATTCAAAAACTGTACAAGTACCACTTTACTGTCCTAAGTGACTTAGTTTTAATATGTATGAGTGAGAACCTCAGTACTTTGGCTGCTTTTAGACTCTTAGAAGGAAATTGGGTATCAGTTATTTGCAGGGTATATTTGATGTAGTCCAGAGACAGTGGTGGTGCAACTTGGCCAGAAAGCATCTCTTTTTGGGCCACTCTTCAACCTAAAACATGCACTCTACTGATGAGGTTCATTATTTAAAAGAAAACATTACAATATAGTGTGTATACTTACTTCAAAACCAGTAAGTAAGAAAAAAATCCTTCTCAACAGAGGGTAAAGCCTTTATTCAGATACCAGTTTTTCTAAGCCACCTATAAGACTGTATTTACTCACCTTCACAAGACTAAGGACAACCATTCCTTAATCAACAAAACATGTAAAAAATAAATTAATAAATAAATAAAAAAAAAGTCTATTGTTATGGTGTTATCCCTAGACTGTGCCACCCTGGGTGGTTAGCAATTTCACACATTTTAACATCTGTCACTGAAGACAGTGGATCATTTGAAATTGGAACTTACCGTCGATGTGGGATTTATTTATTTATTTATTGAGTCTACATAGATTTTGCTTCAGTTTCAGATAAAAAACAGAAAAACATTTGAATCCAATTTATCAAGTTATGATGTTGAAGAATGTTACCAATGACTGCTAATACTAATGTATATAACTGCTTTTTATACATATACAGTTATGTTTTTTGTTTTGTTTGTTCAATGATGTTGTCCACTTATTGGGACTTTTCTCTTAATTATTTGGCATTTAAGCTTGAAGACAGGATGACTTTGTGATAAAAATTTAAACCATAGCACATATAAAAATCCGTTGACTTTTTCAAAATCCTGTTGTAGTATTTTAAGAGGTATATTACAGCGGTGCCCCTTGAGATGCATTTACATTTTACAGTGGGAGAACCAACTTAAAAGAAAATCGAAAGTGTTGAAAATATATGTTCTGTTATGAGTGTCTATCATTTTAATGTGTCATGATGGTAAAAGAATAAAATCAACGGATTCATAAAATTGATATTCTTGTGTTAAATCTCTTCCACAAACACATATCTTTCTAGAAACTTCATCACACAAAAAAGCCAGCTTTAAATTATTCCTCATATACCAACAAGCTCTCATGGCAACAAATTCCTTAAATTCCTTTATCCCATTCTCGCATTCTCTCTGCCATAGAAGATTTTTTATTGCATATGTCCTGTATTTGCATTTTGCAGTGATTGTTACTTTATTTTCCCTTGGCTGCATGAGAAATTCTTATTCTTTGATCCACACAATCTGATCTGTCCAGTACTTTCTTTAAAACTCCTCTCAACAGAGGACAGAACTGATAGTTTAATTGATCTTTCTGCCCTGGCAAATGGGAAATCCCAAAGTTTGTGAATGAGGAGCCTGACACTAACCAAAACAGTGAAAAGAAAAGAAAAGAAAAGAAAAGGAGAGGTTGTTGCATTTCAAGGAAAAATGTAAATGAGAAACTCCTAAAGAGAAATAGTCAGACTTAGAATTCTCTGCAATGAGGTGGGTATTTTTTTTTCTCTTTTTAATTAGAGTTTTATGACAAAAATGAAAAAAATAAGACACCGGCACTGGCACAGTCTAATTAAAATGTTAAAAAGGCAACAACAAGAGTCTGCTATAGAATATATCAGAGAAGTAATAACACTGGCTCATTATAAAAAGCCAAATTTGGAAGTGTCATTACCCATGATGTTCAGGCTGGTGTTTCAGTATCATTTATACAATTATCAACATTCCCAGTTTTTCTCCCTGGTTCAGTGGAAAGTAGATAATAATTGCCTAATAATGCATAAACAATGGCTGCTTTGCAAAGCTTTAAATTTAATGAAATCCTTTGTGCTGCTTAAAAAGGAAACCTGAGGAAATAATTTATCTCTATAATTTCATCTGCCTGGTACTTACTGCCCTCTCTTGGTGGCTAATGTGAAGTACCAGTGTGCTTATCATACATTCATCTGATGACTTAAGATATATTACTTTTACGGCATAACTTATTTTATACTAAAAATACATATAAATATAAATTGTATTAAGTAGGACTGTCGAGACTCTTTGCTGTCTCGACATACCTTTTCATTAACTAGGGGCAGCATAAATTATTTGTATTGCAATCATCTGGCATTCTTGTCCGGAAGGACTGCGAAAAAAACACATTAAAAAAAAACAACAAAATAGCCATATTTTGGTTTCTGTGAATATGTATATAAGGTATGTGCACTCTGTCAATTGTTCATCCAGCCACAACTAATTACAGCTCTCTATCTTTAAGTCTTTTGCCCCTTTAAACTGCAAGTTCAAAATCTATGTAAGCATATTTATAACAAAAAACTCAGAAATGCTTTTCTCCTGAATTAATCTTTTAATGGTATTCACACACTTTTGAGTTTTTTACATTTAGTTTTTTATGATAAACATAGTGATCTGTGGAATGTTTAAACTTAGGATATCCCCCTAAACCTCTGAGGCCAGCAGTATTTTAAAGGGAAATTAGATTAGTCTCAGGTAAACAACATTATTTACTATCCACTGAACTTTGTTTTCAAGTTTGAAGATGTTTTGTTTCCCATCCAGGAAGCGTTTTTAATTCAAAATGTCAGAAAATATCATATACATATGGGAGTTTTATATGTACACAAACGTGTGGGACTTGAATTGAAAAAGCTTCCTGGATGGGAAGCAAAACGTCTTTAAACTTGGAAACAAAGTCCAGTGGACTGTTTTTTTTGTTTTTGTTTTTGGAATGACTATGACCTGGATGATTGAGAATCTTCACTAGCAGTGACATCTGTGCTTTTAAAATATGAAAAACATTGTGTAGCCCTTTTGTAATACACCACTTATTCACTAAAACGTGAAAAGTGTGTAATTTATGGGATATCCATCCATAACAAAATCTTAAGATTCAGTTCCTCCTATATCTGTATCCAACTATATATACTTTCCAGCTAATGAAGAAAATAGCCCCAGCATAAAAATAGAAGCTCATTATGTATTTTGAAATAAATATTTTTTATTACATTTTAACATTTGTGTTGTGTGGGACAGCTATAATCCATTATGTACCCACCAGGTTGCTGCCTTAAGAAATTGTGTGTCCCAAACCAAATTTATTTTCTGCTATTTTCGTTAAGACTAAGAGACGCTATGTTTATTTTAAAGTCAACTTTATTTTATATTTTTCTATATTTTCACCTACCTCACATTCCAGCATCACTGGTCCTTCTGTTTCCCTGGCATCATTGGTCAAACTCAATGTGAGGTTGTGGAGACCTCCAAACATCTCGGAACCAAGGAACTTCTGAATAAAGTTGAAAAAGGAGGAATTGAAGCCCTTGACTTCACATCTTTAAATATTTCATTCAAAATTAAATATTTTAAAATCTTCTAAAAAAATCCAAACTCTATATGGAATGCTATTCCTATTTACAACTTTGACAAAATCCTTTCTTCTTAAATGCAATTACAGTAAACCCAAAAGAACAGTATTCCCTAGTGGGTCATTAAAGCTTTTATCATCTTTACCCACACGTCAAATTTACTCCATTTATAAACTCCATTTATATTGATTATGATTGTCCTTCTATAAGTAAGAAAACAACCAACAAAAGGTTAAGAAATATTCCATTACGAGATGTGTCTTTTCAACAGCTTGTATATTTTATTGGTCCAACACTTTTGAAAATATAAATTGGAAGTGGACTCGGTTGCTCCTTAAAATTACTTAACAAACAATAAAGTAAGAGAAATTTCTTATAAAATTATTCCTAATGTTTATCCTGTTAAAGCATTTTTGAAAAACAGATATAAATGGAATTCGGACCCAATATTTACTTTTTGTAAAAATAATGAAGAGAAGCTTATTCATCTTTTTGGGATTGTAATTATACCAAAATCAACACATTTTTTTTTCCATCAAAAAAATCTTAACATTACTTTAACAGATAAGGATGTTTTCTTTGGGATGGAAAAATGTGAACCTGTAAAAACAGAATTTTTATATGTTATTAATTATTTTTTATTTATTTATGGTAAATACCATATTCACACATCCAAATATTTACAACAAAAGCCAAATTTCCAGATTTTATTACATTCTATTAATATCTATATAGAATCCTTAAAATTGGGTTAAAATGCTAAAGCCATGCAAATTATAATGCCCTTAAAGAATTATGACCCTCAAGCATAGATTAGATTTGATTTTGACATTTTAAAATAATAGTTCTGTTCTGTAAAACCCTTTGTTGTTGTATATGTTTGTAATTATTAATGTTCTATATTGTTCATGTTGTTTTGCAATAAAAAAAAAAAACAAGGAACTTCCCCAACACTATATGTGGAACTCTAAGCTAATAAAGGTTTTAAACTTAAAAAAAACCCATATAATTTTCAAGCAGTGATGAACAACATAATAGTTTGTCATTATCTGGTTAAAAACAAATAAAACGACATGAGTCGTTCTTTAATGTGCACACTGCAGTCCATCATCAACAATCAACTGTCCATCCGGAGCTTCTCATTGGTTGTTTGGGGACTGGGGGCGGGGTTTCTTTATCAGTCAGGCAGCAGTGGATTCAGTATTTTACAGAGAGCAGCTGATGTGCCAGTGAAACCCCCCAGCTGGAACTCCACTGTCTGCCACAGGTAGGCTGCTTCATGCGAGCTTAATATGTAGATATAACTTAATACATTGGCAGCATTAGAGTTAAATATTTAGCCTGATTTTCATTAGTACCTTGTGTTTTTTATATGTTAATGGCCTTTATGTGTTGATGATAGTCTGATGTAATTCAGTTTTAATGTATTATAACAATGACATATCAATTGTTAAAAAGTGACATTTTTACAGCATTCCACCCAAAGGATGAAAAGTCTCAAAGCAAAGTTTAAAAAGAATGAGGTAAGAAGCATCTATTATGATGAGTTTGGAGGATTAATAGTGATTGAACTATGAAAGAAGTTATCTCTTTCCCTGAAAGTTATTTTTCTTTCAACTTTCAACATCATAGTTTGCTTTCTTCAATTATTGTATATAAGCTGAGGGGAAGGTATTAGGATTTAGTGTTGCTGAACAGCAGGAGAGCAGGACTGCCACCAGACTGCTGCTGTAACAATGATCTCAGGTAGCCTTCAATTATTAACACATAAGCCATGCAGACACACTGACTGACACACACAAGGAGGTCCTGACATGTCTGTCATTCTTTTTTTCTAATCTTAAGGGCAACTTTGAATAATAACGACAGATGACAGAAAAAAATACACATATAGCATTTAGCTATAAACTGTTGATGAGACTGCTGCTTGGCCTCTATACAGGCTGATAAATCAACACGCCCCAAAGTTTAAAGGGATAGTTCCTTTAGATGGCTTGTTTGATGTGTCTGGATATTTTCTTCTTACTGATGCTTTTATAGAAACCAAGTGGCATACCAGTAAATGGGGATCACAACCACTGACAAAAAGAAAAGAAAGTGTGAGTTTGGTAAATGGTCAGACTCAGGCTGGACAATGTGCAGCCTTACCCCCCTATCACCCTCCACCCCACCCCCCCTTTTTGCTGAGTCCTCACTTCACACAGGCCTGGCCCTGCAGCTGCAGTGAAACGGATCTCACTATGCTGCAGGAGGAGCAGGGATTGGGAGGTGGGGTACCATGCAAGACTTGACAAAAACTAATGAGAGCGAAGATGGGGACAGCTACTAAGAAGAGGGCAGCAGGGAAATTTACCAGAAATGAGAACAGGAGGGAGGGGAGGTGCTGTGGAAAGACTGGCTGTTCCAGTGCATGCAGACAGAGCAAGACGAAAGGAGGATTTTTGCAAAAGCGGACAGGATGCTGTTTCGGGATGTGACAGGGAGGGAGAGTATTGTGTGTATGTGACAGTTTATACATCATCAGAGGTAGGATTTAGAAATAGGATAAATTTTCTGCTCTGTTGGGATGTTGTTCTGACCTTTGGAAGGTTCTTTCCCAGAAACTCTTTGATTTTCCTGAGATAATCTGAAATGTAAGATATTTTAGGCATGTAGGAGGAAATTAGTGCTCTAGCAGTATATACGTAGCTGTGTTTCACTCCAAGATAGCAATATGGATCCCCAGCAGCCTGTTTTTAGCCTAATGAAGCGGTTCTGTCCTTGTCTCAGCCTGCTGCCGCTGCCAGTAGGTATCCTCTGTCTTTATTTATAAAAATTATCAGCAAAATGACTCCTTCTTCATCTTTCATCTGTCAGAACTAATTTTACATCAACAGTTATTAAACAATGCATTGGATGTCAGTATATACAGTGCTGCTCTGCGGTTTACATACACCCATCATTAGCATAATTGTCAGAGTATTTTTGGTCTTTAAACAATTGTTTAAATGTATCTTTTTTCTGTGTTAAACAGCCATGCAAGAAACTGGTTGTGATTATTTTTAAAATTAGACATTACTAATATTATAATAATTTTTTGATATACCAATGTTTTTCTTTAACTTAAAAAGGGGAAAAAAAATCATAAATGTCCTATCAATGTGTGGTTTATTGTTGTTGAGTCATTTGAACCTTAACCATGCCTGTTTGTAGCCATTGAAATTGCTATAATATTGCCTGTAAACTTGGAGGTCCTCTGTTCAGACATGCAAGAGCTCATTTAGTTTACTTTAGGACTCTTACAGTGACATATCTTTATCTCCTTGGTCAATCCGTTTTAGTTTGGGGTCCTTTTTTTTGGACTCCCCTCTTGTTTCAAAGCTATTGCATCAAATTTGCACAGTAAATTAGTAGCACCTTCAACAACACAGACCCTCACTATGATGTTACTACTACCATGCTTAACAGTGAGTACTGAATTCTGAAACCTCAAAGCCTTACATTGACTTTTCTAATCATATTTCTTGTCATTATTTACAAATAGCAACATAATTTTCTCATTGGACTGTAAAAAACTACCACTGAAGATAATCAGATCTTCAGGTGGGCAACTGCAAATTTTAGTCATATGCGAATCAGCTCTAGAACTGTGGGGTACAGTCTTTAGTTTTAATAATTTTGACCCATATCCTTTCATCTTAGGTGGTAGGTTTGGTCAGGTGAGTGAAATCTGTACTAAATCAGGTATTCTAATAGGACAATGATCCACACATGATAATTGCTTTTAAATGGAGACAGTAGACCAACTTTAAACTTTTGACATTCAGGTAAATAATGAGTGTATGTAAACATCCAACTGTTATTGTATAAAGCATAATATTAGTTTTTATTAGGGCAGTACTGACATAGAGGGTGGTTAATTCTTTTTTTTTTATTTCCCCCCCTTAAGAGTCAGGACTGGAGCAAGAGCGATGAAAGGCTGCTGCAGGCTGTGGAGCAGAATGAACCTGACAAAGTCGCTGCCCTCATTGTCAAAAAAGGTCTTTGTCCAACCAAACTGGATGCAGAGGGCAAGTCAGCGTAAGTTTGACACTTGATCTTTACCTCATAGAAACGGGGAAAGTTTCCAGACTTATTGGTTCTATTTACTTAATCCTAACCTATTAAAGCATTCTTTTCATATAATCTGTAGATAATTAAAGCAAAATGTTTTTCTTCTGGGTGAGAAAAAATAAATAAATAACATAAAACAAAACCAAACACATAATTATCTGAGCAGAAATCATCTTCGAAAAAGAAAACCCAATAAATTTTTGCTTTCAAGCTGCTAAGGACACACATTATCTCTCGGAATATAAACTTGGACATAAAGTTTCTTGTTTATCAGTAGTTATTTCACTGTAAACAGTAGCTTCAAAAGTTCAACAATTCAAATAAATGTAAACATTATTTTTTAATCCCAGATGGAATTCACATAAAAGTGTAAAACATTTTCCCATTTTTTGGTGTATGAAAACTTTAATGTATATTGTTTTTTTATTGGGACTGTATGTAGTAGAACAATGAGAGATACTGCAGAAAACATGGTTTTCAAATGTTTTAATAACTTCTAAAAAAAATTTTATCTTTTCTCTGATACCCCAAAACAGAATCCATTGCTAACAGCTGACTTCAGATGTCCCCTAATTAGCAGTTAGAGTTTGCATGTGTGCAATTTAACAGATAAAAACTGTAGCAAAAAAAAGCTCAAGGTATATAAAAAACATTTATATGAACTGTAAATCTTATATACGATATTTCATCTGTGATTTAAACACTTAAAACACCGATTGTTTTCTCAGGAGTCATAAAGAGACCTTTAATTTTGTCATAAATTGTAATGTTTCATTTTGATCAAATATTTCCTTATTTCAAAATTAAAGCTGTTAGGTCCAAAATAATAATGATTAAGAAAATGGAAGATACATAAATGTTAACAATACTTTTGCATGGATATGCTTTTGTTTGCACTTTCTGCCAGGTTCCACCTTTGTGCATCTAGAGGCAGACTAGATTGCCTGGAGGTAATCATATCCCATGGAGCAGACGTCAGTGTCACTGATGGAGCAGGTATAATATTTTGTTATTGGAAGCGGTTTATATGATATTATAAGCTATAAACTATATATAAACAACCCCAATCCCCATTATAGCAATGTACTTATTTAGTATATTTATATAATATATTTATTTATTATATTTATTTTGTTTTCTGTTTATGACCGACTGACTCCAGGTTTCAGCGCACTTCACCTTGCTGCCAAAAACAGCCAGCCTGAGTGTTTAAAGAGACTGTTGCAGGTAAGCTCAGCAATGCCATAACCACTGTACAAATTCTCCAAACCATGCCAGAAGTATATGGAAAATGGATCACTTCTGTGCTGTGTGCCACATTAGGAGAGACTGGCAGTAGATTGCACTGACAGTATTGGCAGGACCCCACTGCATCATGCAGGTATCAACAACATTATCTGCATAAATCAGATTCCTCTTAGAGTCTCTGATATTAACATGTCACATCTTAGTGTAAGGAGACTTTAATAGCAGTTAATAAAATCATATGATGTCTTATTGTTTAGGTAAAAGCTATTTTTTATTGCTTAGCTATTTTTATGTTTGTTGTTTTGGTTTTTAATTGGATCCCAAAGCGATCAGTGGCTGCTTGTCGTCCACCGAGATACTGTGGGACTTTAAAGCAAATCTGGATGTCCAGGACAGTGTAAGCTTGATGACTGTTGCTACATTTTTTTGTTTGGTTTCTTGGTTTATGACTCCTTCCATTTTGGATCTTAAGGATTTAATCCTCCAGCTTCTGATTAATTGTTGTCTTTTTTTAGGATGGGGCCACGGCACTGATCCTAGCGGCCCAGGTGAGCAGAGTGGAGCTGTGTGTCTTTCTATTGGGTCGAGGTGCCAATGCAAACATACAAGACAACCACGGGAGGTACTCAGCTATTGTCCACATTTTTTACACTTTTGTTGCGGTATTGATAAGTGAAATCCCACTTTACATTTATTCTATAAGCAGTTAGAAGCTAGAAGAACTAGTTTAGTGTATATTATGCACTCAACGAATGCTTTTAATGTTTCTCAAAAAGAAGTCAATAACTTAAAAAAGTCCCCTAAAAAATAAACACAAGGATAACCCATCCCACTGTGAGAAGAAACTTCAAGCAGATGCTCTATAAAGTGATCCTTAGTTATCGATTTTAAGTTTAAAATGATTGTTAGTCAAATTTATATGGCAGATTTTTTTTATATTTGCACAGCAAAAACAATGATCCTAAATGGATAACACTGAAACTATTGTTGGGGCAGTTTCTTATGGTCATAATGATGTCTAATTTTGGCAAGTTAGATATTTGGATACCACTGTCCTAACTGGTGTATATATCTATAATGTTTTATGTTTTGTACCTATTCAGTCAGTTTGTCTCTCATTGTTGTTTATTGTGATTGTTTCTGGGAGGAAAGGTCTGCATTGATGCTGGCCTGTGAAAGCGACAGTGTTGAGACTGTAGCGGCTCTGCTGAGAGGTGGCGCAAGTACTCAGCTGGTTGACCAACTCGGGCACAAAGCAGTTGACTTTGCCACAACTACGGGCAACCAAGGCATTGTTCGTATGTTGCAGGATGGAGTACCTCCAGGTACCGGCCCTTGGGCATTTTTTGTTGGCTATTTTGGAAGTTTGCTTCTACTGGAAAGCCTCTTCTTTCACACAAAGCCTCTAGATTAAGCCATTAATTAATATGACATATTCCATTCCCAGAGAGCAGATGCAATAGATAGAGTAGCTGGAAAACCGAATGTTTGCAGAGTGGACTAAAATAATGGTATAGGGAATTAGTTTTGCTCAGTGAGACATGCTTACATATAAAAACAGATGTGCCTTAGCAGATGGCTTGAAAAACAAGATGATGCAGAATATCTGATATGTAAATCAAGCCAAAGCTCCAAATTCAGTTATCAAAATTTCGTTTCAGTGTTAGAGATTTGCTGTTAGATTCATGAATGAAACCTGTGGAAAAGAAACTTTACCATTTGAATGTGTTTAAATGCTTTTAGCTCATTATCTTTTTTCCCCGTTGCTCACATAGCTTCTGAGGGCACAGGCGAGGAGGTAACATTACATAGTTGAATGTTGATTCATTGCTTCCATCTATGAGATTATGACTCATCTTGGCTCATCATATTGTGCATGGCTTCCAATATGAGGTCATTTTTTTAGTGTGCTGCCTCTATTCTCTTAGCTGTCTCTCTTCTTTGTTGCTGACCTCTTCTTTCATCTTGGTTTTCTTCCTTTTTTGTGTTTTGTTTCAAGTTAAGCTTGACCCCTGTATGTCAGTGATCCCCCTCTCACCCCCAAACACAGCCCATTCAAATCCCCTCAGGCGCTTCATCAGTGCAAGGGGGGACCACCCCCCGAAAACGGAAAGCTCCTCCACCGCCTCGCTCTGCTCTTCAGGTACTGTAGAAATCATTTCAGCAGAAGGCAAACATCTTTTGTGTTTTATCAAATGCTTAACTTTAGGCTATATGTATCATATTAGCATGCCATCCACTATTATGGGACCATAGTGGAGATATTTAGATGGTCTTTAAATTAACTGCTCTTTTATACAGTTAAAAAAATCTATTCTTTAAAATAATCAAATCATGTGTACCTTAGTTATTGGCTTCCCTGGTGGTAGTATGCACTGTTTTGCTGATAGAACAGCCCTTAGTCTTCTCCATTTGACAACATTTTTCATCTTTGACTATTCGTCATGACACAATCTCTCTAGATAACCCACAGCCCAAAGTCTCTTCTTATGCGTTCTACTCTTTAGCTTTACCAACGTGTGTACAGGATTTAGGTCTGTGACTTAAACCACCACAACAAATAGCTGATTTTGTGCTTGGTAAACCATTTCTCTGTAGATTTCATATTATATTTTGGATTATAATTCTGTTGAGCTACCAACGATGATACATTTTCAGTTTTCTAGCATAGACCAGTAGGTTTTCACATGCATACCTGTACCCTGGTATTTTAGACAGCCAATGAAGCCATGGCATCCAACAAGGTCCTTATGACCTTTGTAAGAGAAACAATCTCACAGCATCACAGAGTCTCTACCATGCTTAACAATGGGCATGGCGCTTTCCCGATAGATTAGTCTTTCTTGTAATAAGCTCAGATTTGCTGCTAGAATCCCAGCAGCAGTTCACAACTCCATGTGTTAAAATTGAGAATGTTAGGAACAAAAATGATTTTTGCTGATGATATGCTTCCCAAGCAACCGATCTGGTTACAGGTAGCTTTCAATAGTTGTCTATAGATTTTATAAACCCAAGATCAGAGGTGTCAAAGGTATTCATGTTTATTACTCAAGTAGAAGTATAAATATTATGATTTAAAAACAATTTTATAGAAGTTGAGTATCAACTTAAGCCTTCTTCTCAAGTAAAAGTGTAAAAGTACCACATTTTGAGGTATAAAACTAAGATAGCTGCTTTACTGCACTACACTATTAAAGAAAAAAAGATATATTCTGGATGAAAATGTAAAAACTTTTAACTCATTTATGGCGACTTTTTACTTCTACTCATTTACTTAACTCATCTTAAAAAACTATTTTTTTTTTTGTGCGTGTCGAGCAAGAAGTTGGTGCAGTACCGAGTCCAAACAAAAGGAAATTAATTGTCCGGATGAAAGAAATTATTTTGGTGCCACATTTTGATTTTTTAAATACTAACAGGCCATAACGGAAATTTGCTTAAATGAAACAAAACTAACATGTCTTTTTTTTTTTTTATGTAAGAAGAAAGTAGAGATAATTGCAAAAAAAATGAATGTAAGGAGTAAAAGTAAAATGTTTTCTAAAAATAATTACTTAAGTATGGTAACAAAGTATTTGTACTTTGTTACTTGACACCTCTGCCCAAGATGCCGCTGATCTTACCCAGTGAGCTTTGAAGACTTGGTTACAATTCCTATCAGCCTCCTCACAGTGGCTGGTGGGAAAAATAAATACAGGGCTGACTTTAGATGTCAACAAATTAAGGTGAACAGCCACTCTTGTTGTCATTGTCTAAATCGTGAACATAATTACACCTTTGCCTCACTTGGAATGGTTGTCAGTTTGCCATTCCTGTTTTGAATAGTGTTTAAAGTCACTGGGCTTCTTTGTAAAATCAGTTTTATACCTTTTGATAATAGGAAGCCATTAAATACTATAAAAGTATAACATTACTAAACCTCTTCAGTTGCGTTTATTTTATAAGGATTGTTAGGTGTCTGAATAACTGAAACAAAGAGTTTATTTTAAAATTTTATATATATATATATATATATATATTCTTTCACAGTGAAAAATCTCACATTTTCTGTGTGAAATTGCACTACTGGAGAAGAGGATAGTTTCGTGTTGTTTAGTTCTGATTTATTAGTTTATTACACATGGACATTTGCAAGAAAAACATTCATAAATTAGATGCTTTGCAGTTTCTGTCTTTAATCACCGAATGGTCAAGTTAATGGTACACTTCAGTTCATCGTACTTTAACATAAATTCAGTGTCTCTACATATGCCATCACTTTAGGAGTTTCTGGTTTATTAGATGGGTTGGAAAATATGGAGAGCCCTGTATATAACAAGCTTAACATTGCAATTACAGTAAATTAAAATATATATATATCTCAATCCATAAAACAATGAGCATTTTCCTGTGCTAGAGAACATTGTTATCTTTGACAATTGATTGGTAGTATCATTTTTTCTGTTTTATTTGTATTCTAATTTAAAAGATCCAGGACCTCTCACCTGGACCTGCCAAATCTCCAAGTCCAGCTCCCCGTACCAAGTCACCTGAGCCACAAAAATCTCAGTCTCCATCTCCCCTGCCTCCTGAAACTCAGCAATCTTCTCAGGTAAAACATTCCGGTTTTTCATGTTTTTCTAAATTCTGACTGCTTTTTCATTACACTGCATAACATATATATTTTTACTTGATTTCTGTGGTTTTCTGCCTCGATTAGGCAGAGGATGAGGAGGTTTTTGAGGAGATCCGACGGCTGCGGCTTGAAAGAGGCCGACTGCTTCAGAAGATTAAGGCCCTGGAGCAGCAGCAGCAAAGTGCCCTATCTGCCTTAGAAGAGGTACAGGTTTTTAGAAAAAATATATTTGTTTCTTCTTCCTTTTCAAAACAGTCAATGCTAACATTAACTTCAATAATAAAGGAATAGCTCTGATTACCAGTTACCCATGTGTGTGCAATAGCTGTCCCAACTAAAGCAGCATCTGAAGGAGGCAGAGGCTGAGAGGGATAAACTGCTGGAGGAGCTGAAGGGGGCCCATGGGACTGGCACCAGTGACTCAGAGGATTTAGATGAAATGCTGGACTTCCCTGGTATACAGTCCATAGAACATTCTCCTTCTAGAGCTGGAACACAGAGAGACTTCCCAGCATGCCTCCCTGCATCAGCCCTGCCAGGTGGTTCAGCAATGTTCTTTTGTGGTGGTCTCTCTACAGAGAAGCTGCTTTCAAAACGCTCCAGAGCATCCCCTGCCCAAGATGAAGCCTCTTCACAAACAGAGACAGACTCCACTGGCCCTTCTCCTGCTCCTCCAGACCCACGATCAGTTGCTGAATTGCAGAAACAAATAGAGGATCTAATTTCACAGAACTCTGAGCTTGTACTTAAAGTGCAGGTAAGCCACAAAAGCAAATTCAAAGAAGCTGATAATGCATTCATTCTGACACAGAAAGCACAAACATAATTATCTTCAGGTTAACCTAACTAAGATCTTCAAAGAAGCGAATCAAATACAACAGTTGGTATAGAATAATCACCTGAGTGATTTGCTGAATGTTCCTGACTCATCATGTGATGACCACTACATCACTAGTCATGAGGTGCACTCTCTTGGACTAGTTAACAGAGGGAGTACACAGATTTAAAAATAACAAATCTGTATCAGATGGAATGCAGATGGAATTTCTGTCAGCTTAGATCTTGATTTGTCTGGTTGCAGTAGATTTACCTGAGTTACTTTGTATTTAGGTAATATTTGTTGTGTATTTGCGACTGCTAATGTGACCCTTAGTGATCAAGTTGCGGATTAGCCTTTTTGTATCACAAAAGACCCATCAGATGTCAGGGGTAAGACAACATTCAAGAATAGAGTCTTTAATGATTGTTAGAAAAATAAGAAACAAAAATCTCTTCTAGAGACTGATAAGCAAACATAAGCAAACAGCAGACATGGGTGGGTTGCCGAAGGTGGGTTGCCGAAGTATCTGTGGTTAGATCATAGGTTGTTAGACTGTTTTTCAGATTGGATCCATTTTTAGAGACTAAGTTAAAGGACAGATCCATTATGCATAAATTCTCTGTGACCTATTTCTGAACACTGATGCAGATATAAGTTGGGGTGTTTGTGTATATTTGAGTCTTTCCTTAAAATTTTAAATTAAAGGCATTCAAAGGCCAAATAAGCCAAGTTTATTTGTATAGTATATTTCAGTGGCTGAAAATTCAAGTGCAGGAAAGAATTAATAAAAGTACATTGCAGTGGCATAGATACAATACAATTATTTAGAGAGAATAAAAGTTAATAATTATTAAGATAAGATAACTGAGATGATTACATTGATAGCACAGTGTAATGAATCAAGACTTGGAAATTACAATCCAGCCAATACACAAGAAGCAATTTTAGAGTTTTATTTAAGCAACATGTTCTGAGGGGCTGGAAACTGACTGGCACATGGTTAAGCCACTGGAAGAGTCAGGAATATATATAGTGCTCCTCCCAGGTGCAGTAACACCAGTAACCTGAGCTGCTGCAGGTGTAGCCACTCAGACCTAATTACAGGAGCTTGGCTGAGTAGCTCCAACAGCAGAGCAAACACAACACACATCCACAGGCTTTGACTTTTCAGTATCCCTTCCCCCAAGGTCTGGAGCCTGATGGACCTCTAGATTTATCAGGGTGCAATCTGTGGAACTCACTGATGACTTATCAACAATGAAGCAACCAGGTATCAAAGATCTTTCCTGAGGTCCATAACCCTCCCAGTCCACAAGGTGCTGTGTGCCATGATCTCTCAGTCTGGAAGCCATTGGTGTGACCAACAGTATGACCCCAATCCCCACCAAGGAGCGGGGTGCTAAGCAAAGTGCCTAGGGCAGGCTCAAATGGCTTGATTCATGACACCGCAGACATGGGATGAATCCTCATGGTGCAAGTAAGCTGCAGGTGAACAGCAAGAGAGTTGATTACTTTGGCAATGGCTGGGGAATGGATGCATGAAGAAGGGAGCCAGCTTTCTGCAATTTACATGGAGGGGCAAGTCTTTAGTGAATAACTAAACACTCTGGCCAAGCTAGTAAGCAGGATCCTGTTCATATCTCAGAGCTGAGGCAAGTTCAGATGGGTCCTTGGTCTTTATTTCTTTCTTGCATACAGAATACTGGTGGTTGGTAACAACAAACAAGACATAAGGGCTTTAAGTTGATGGAATTTAAGACCCAATGGAGATTGTGTGACCACTTGACAGGTTCTTGACCACACAGAGTACGTATCTCTGTCTCGACTTCTTTGTTCATTCTCTCTTTATGACTTTCAGACTGGAGATGAAACCCCATATGGATGGCTTTTGGAAATAGGGCAGTAACCCACTGGAAGAGCTAGAAATACTGCTGACTGAAAGTGCTAAAAACAACATCACCCTTAAATCGTCAATGGAAAACAAATGTATTAATCAATCGAGGCCTGGATCTGGAGTCACACACAAAGTTAAAGTGGAAAAACACACCACTGGATAATCCAACTTTGATGTAAGTTCCTTTAAACTGGTCAACATAAGGCTCAGTATTGTGTGTCTCCTCCACAAGTCTGTATGACCTTGCTACAATTCCTGGGCATGAGATGGCAGATGGTCTCCTGAGGGATATCCTCCCAGATCTGTACTAAAGCATCAGCAAACTCCTTGACCGTCTGTGGTGCAATGTGTAGTTGGTGGATGGATAACTCTATAATGTCCCAGAGGTGCTCAATCTGATTCAGATCTAAGGAATAGGAGGTGCAAGTCCATAGCTTCAAGGCCTTTATCTTGCAGGAACTGCTGACACACTCCAGCCACGTGAGGTGTAATATTATCCTGCATTAGGAGGAACCCAGGGTAAACCATACCAGCATATGGTCTCACAAGGGGTCTGAAGATCTCATCTTGGTACCTAATTTCAGTCATGCTCCCTCTTGGTGAGCACATGGAGGGCTGTGGGCCCTCAGGGTGCTAGCGGTGAATTTGCCAATCCTGGTGTTCTCTGGCAAATGCCAAGCGTTCTACAAGGTCTGTGGATGTTGGGCCCTCGTACAATCTCCATGGAGTCGGTTTCTAACCGTTTCTGCAGAGACATGCACATTTGTGGCATGCAGGGCTCTAACAGTGCTCCTCCTTTTCCTCCTTGCACAAAGGCAGAGGTAGCAGTCCTGTAGCTGGGTTGTTGCCCTCCAACAGCCTCCTCCATGTCCCTGGTTTACTGGCATGTCTCCTGGTAATACCTCCAGCCTCTGGACACTAACCTGAAAGAAACAGCAAACCTTCTTGCCAAAGTTCATGTTGATGTGCCATCATGGATGAGCTGCACTACCTGAGCCACTTGTGTGGGTTGTAGAGTCTATCTCATGCTACCATGAGTGTGAAAGTACCACCAACATTCAAAAGTGACCAAAACATCAGACAGAAAGCATTGGTACTAACAAGTGGTCTCTGGTCTCCACCTGCAGATTCAATCCTTTATTCAATGTGTCTTGCTAATTGACCAAAGATTTTCACCTGTTGTCTAATCCATTTGCACAACCACATGTAAAATTGAATGTCATTCAGTATTGCATCCTAAGCGGACAGTTTGATTTAGAGCTTTAGTTTGATTTAAGTTATATTTTTATTTTGTTTATGTGTTCCCTTAATTTTTTTGAGTAGTGTATATTGCTCCTCCCAGGTGCACTATGAAATTGTGGCTGCTGAAGGTGTAACATATTACAGCTTATTACAGGAGCTTGGCTGAAGGTGCAGTATGTGATTTCATTCGCACAGCAACGAAGCAAACACAACAAACTGCCAAAATTAATATGCTTTTAATCTTGATTTAAAGCAACTGAGGGTTTAAGTATTTTTTAGTTTCATGGGAGTTTATTCCAGATGATTGGAGCATAAGTACTGAAAACTGCTTCTCCAAGTTTATCTCTGCTTTCAGGTATACAGAGTTGATTAGAGCCAAAAGACCTGAGAAATGTGGGTGGTCAATACACTAACAGCAGATCTGTAACATATTTTGCTGCTAAATCATTCAAACCAGTGACTGTGCCAGAAGGGTGGAGGTCTTTTTCCAGCTGATGAAATAAAATGGAGTGATCAACAGTATCTAATGCTGCACTAAGGTCCAATAATACAGGCACTGTGGTTCACAATAGATTTAAACACAAATGTATGCTTGCCTTTTTAATTCATTATTTAATAAATAAACAACTTAAAGCCAAATAGTTACAATTAAATTCTTGTCATTATAGTTATTACATTTAAGCTTTTAATAATACCTTAATAATAAAAATACTTTTCCAACATTATTTAACACCTGAGCAAACAAGAGTCCAATCCTCAAAGTCCCTCACATCATACATTTAGAACACACAAAGCAAATATTTTTTTTTCTTTTAATATAACATGTAAATCACACTTTTCTATGATAGTTTTATGTTGATTACAGATGCTGGAGATGTTTGAGAAGGATGATACCGACATGCAGACCATCAGTCCAGACTCAGTCCCTATAACTCAGTATGAGACTTTAAGGAAGGAGTTTGAAGCCCTTCAGGAGCGGTTTTCTCAAGCCCAGATGTCATTGGAAGCCTGCAGTGTTTCTGACAAGCAGTGAGATGCTTTTTTTTTCTAACATACTACAAGCAGTTAGCTTCCAAACTTCACTCAGCTAGGAATCCTTAATTCTCAAGTATAATATTGAGATAGATTTACTGGATTCAATGATAAATTTAAAAGTAAACATATTGTAAGGTTAGAAACAGGCTTTTAATCTATTTTTGGGAGACTTAACATGTATTTATGTTGCTTTCTTTTCAAGTTTAAGTTGTCATGTCTTGTAGAAGCAGCTCCCAGAATGGAAGTGAAGATCCAGAAAGCACGGCAGCTCTAAAAGAAAAGCTTTGTGGGTTGGAAGAGCAGCTGGCCTCCTCCCAGTCTGAGCTGGAGGAGCTCAAGGAGCAAATGCGTCTTGGGGTGCTCTCTGTGGAGTGTGCTGAAGGAAACATTAGCACAGCAGACGCTCAGGCTGCAGGAGGTGCAAGCCAGGAATTGCAGCAGCTGAGGGCCAGGGTGACAGAGTTGGAAGAGAAACTTGCAGGGAGGCAGGGCGAGGCTCAGGGTCAGAGCAGCCAGGACAATGAGACAATCAAACAGCTGACAGAGAAAGTGAAGGAACTCCAAGCTGCTCTGACCAAGAAAGAGTCTGAGATAAAGGAAGAAGACAAAAGCAAAAGAGGAGAGACAGAGGCAGAAACAGTGAAGTCCCTTCGTGATAGAGTTATCGAACTGGAAGCAGCCCTGGCTGAGAGCAGGACATTGGGGAAAGAAGGAGCAACAGCCGGAGATGGGGATCGGGTCCGACGTCTTCAGGAGCGTTTGGCTGAACTGGAGGGAGAGCTGAGGAAGTGTGTCCCACGCTCAGAGCTGGAGGAGGTGCAGGTGACACTTGGACTTCAGTGTGAACAGCTTGCCAGGGAGAGGGCAGACGTGGCTCGACGGCTCAATGATGCCCTTCTGGAGCTGGAGAGACTTAGACCTCAACATGGAGATGATGAGGAGGAGGAAGAGGAGGAGCATTCGGAGAGCTCAGAGCCCTCTTTCATTTCAGGTTTACTCCTTTTCTATGTTAGATATACTTGTGTTTACTGACAGCTTGATTTTGATTGTATTCCACCTCTGTCCAGATCGATCTAAGCAAACTTTAGCAGCAGTGAGGGAGGAATTGGAGGTGGCGAGGCAGGAAGCAGCCCAAGCTCTGGATTGTCTTTGTGCAGAGCGGGAGAGCAGGGCACAGGACGCCCTGCAGTTAAAAGACGCTGTGCCCCTTTCAAAGCATAAAGAGGCACTGTCTGCAGTGTCAGAGCAGCTTTCTCAAACTCTTCAGGAGCTTCAAGAGGAGAAAACTCTACGAGTTAATGCTGAGGAGCAGACTGCTAAGCTACAGGCAGAGCTACAAGCCAAACAGGATGCCATTCCTAAAGAGGAGCACGAGAAGGTCAAGGTCAGCGGATTGAAGAAAGCAATGAAAACTCCTAAGCAAAGAAATTTTTGCCCACACTGATCTTTAGAAAATGTCAGCTCTAACCTGTGTTTTCATGTTTGAAAGGAAGAGCTCCAGCGCACCCTGCAGGCCAGTGAAAAGAGTGCAGCAGCCGCACAAGAGGCTCTCAGTGAAAAGGAAATGGAGCTCAGAGAGCTGAAGTCCCAGAAAGCTGCAGAACACGGTCTGATATCCAAGGAAGACCACGAGGCCTTGCGACTTTCTCTGCAGGCAGAGATCAATGCCATCACGGCACGCTTCAATGACCTCACCAGGAAACATGAGAAGACATGCACAGAGGTTTGTGCAGCATGTTATTGGGTCAGTCATCAGTCCTCTTCAGTGCCCTCTAAAGCCTAAGTAGATGGTATTGTTTCTGTAGCATACTAAGTTACATCGCCTTTTGAGGCTTCCGTTTAGCCTTTATATCATTCATCTATTGGTTTCTCCACATTACCTGCCATTGTCACTATGATGCCTCTGTATATCATTATGTTCTGAAGTAGAGTGGAATTTAGCAACCTGAACTCTTTATCACACTAACCGTAGTTATACTTCATCTTGGGCTTTTTTGTTCTAGTATAAATGGTTATTTGAGATAGAGTTCCTTATATGACTGAGTCTTAAACCCATACTGTAATTCCCGATGTCCTGTGAAGATGAAGGGTAGCAACATTTTTAATCAAGAATAGTAATCTGTTATGCCCTGTGACACACTGGCGACCTGTCCAGGGTGTACCCTGCCTCTTACCTATAGACTACCCGAGATAGAAACCGAGCAACTGCGACCCTGACAAGCCCTAAGCTAGAGAAAATGGATGGATGGATGGATGGATGGATGGATGGATGGATGGATGGATGGATGGATGGATGGATGGATGGATGGATGGATGGATGGATGGATAGTATTCTGTTAGAATGGCTTTGTTAAAGTTATACTTAAATAGAGCTGACAATCTGTGGTGTTATTCGATTAGGAAATGACAATTAATAGAAGTTTTTACACAACATATTTTAGAGCTTAAGTTATTTTTCAAAGGACATGAAAGAATTTTAGTATTTTATTGTGTATGTTTGGATACAAAAATATGCGAAAATCTTGTACTTAAAGGTTGTGCTACAAAATATCAACTCAGGGGTGCTTAATATGTGTACCTATATGCATATGAATGCATGTACATAGATGCATGTAACACTGTAAAGCATGTATTCTTTCTCTTCCATTTAGCAATCGTGTCTTTCGCATACAATCTCCAGAAAGTATATTTTCAGACTGTGGTCGTAATCTTAAAGAATATAACCAAAATCAAAGAACCACATTCATGTCTTTGGCTTGACAGCGAGAAACAATCCTTAATCTTTAATGTTTGGCTTTGTGAACTTTTTCATGACATGTGGTCATCCTACTGTAGGTGTTCCAGGTGCAGAGGGAGGCGCTATTTCACAAGAGTGAGAGACAAGCAGCAGAGTCCCAGGTGATCACAGTACAGAAGCAGCTCTCTGAACTTCAAGCTCAGTCCAGACACATCCAAGAGCTCCACAAAGACATCCAAGAGTCCCAGGGTCTTGTCAAAGAGAAGGATCGTAAGGTAAGAGCCTACCGCTCCAGTTTTACCAACAATAATCACTATTGAGGTGGTGAGGTCTCAAACTTCCTAACAAACTTGTTTTGTTTCTTGGTTGGTTAGATAACAGAGCTTTCCAAAGAAGTGTTCAGACTCAAAGAGGCCTTGGGAGCCCTTTCACCTCCTCTTGGTATATCATCATCCTCTTCATCCTCTTCTACTCAACATGGTAATCCAGGGCAGCAGGTGGCACTGCAGAACAGGATTGGCATTCTCACCCAACAGCTTCAGGTGAGAGAGGATGTGACAGATGTGGTCTTACATGAGGAGCTTAGGCACAGTGTTTGGCTTACAGTACGGCGCTTCTTATATATGGCCAATAATTAGTTTATAGATATTTGTTAATTTATCTGTTAACTGTTTATGATCAATTAAATGTGTTGTTTTTTTAATCAATAAACATGTTATGCATGCTTAATATAATGTTTGTTCCAGTAGGTGTTTTTGCAGAACAACCTTTGTAAATGTATTCTTACCTCCATGATGAACACATTCCAATGTCAGCTCCATGGCAATAGAATCAACAACAACAACAAAAAAAGGAATGCTAAAAATCCTATCAAGGTATAAAATGTCAACAAATTAGATTTGAAGTGATACCGCACAGAGCGTGATCAGCAGATACTGAGGCACATAATGTGCAGATGCCATCAACTGTCTACACGGTCAGTAGCAAGAGACCTTCAAATTAATTCAAGAAAAGAGTGTGAATTGCTATATACAATGACTTGCATCCCCAGGACAAGGCATAGAGGATGTATAGATGTAAACTAGACTCTAGAACTTTGACAAAGATATAGTCTTCCTGCTAACGTTCCAGCTTTCAATTGTACTGTTTGCGCGTCGGTTACCAGGTTCATCAAACATTTAACTTAGCTGTCGAGAAGTAAAGTTGAAACCTCTACTGTACATCAGGGATGCTCAAGTCCAGTCATCAAGAGCTATTTTCCTGCAACGTGTTGATGGACCACATTTTTAACACACCTGAATCAAATGAGTGGCTCGTTACCATGCCTCTGCTGAGCCAAAAATAGGGTATTGAGCCTTTAGATCAAGGTGTGTTAGTGAAGACATGTACTGTATCTCAAAGTTACAGGATGGTAACTCTTGAGGACTAGACTTGAGCACCCATGCTCTATATTGCTTGAAGCCCCTCTGCTTCCTTAAACCTGGGCCAACACTCAACAGCTTGACCAGTTTACGCCCTTGTTTTGCTTCTTTTTTGATCTGCTTGAATTTGAGAAATGTAATGCTGAGAAGAAGCCATTTTTATCACAGAGCTACTAGTATC